TATTTTTTAATGATACTAAAATACTTACAACCCTAAATTTTCACCCTTCTACCACCAACCCCCACTTTTTTATGGCGGTACGAAGTTCGCTGGGACATTTTATACATCCGTATAAAATACAGCAATTATTTCATAAAAGTTATATGTAATAATGTAAAGTTATGAGTAATCAGTATAAAAAACATAAGATGATGAAAGAAGAAGCTATGAAATAGAATATAATAAGTTTTAATATTTGAGAAAGTTAAGCAAAACTTTTTCGAATAGCGTTACTTTTTATCATTGAAAATGAATCGCAGGAATGTGTTCAAAGGCAGTCAATGGTAATTTTAGCTCTTTTGTATGTCACTTCAACTTAACATAACATACTATACAGGGTGTTACAAAAATACAAATAAATTTTAAGGGCGTTGAAGTACATCATATAAAGAGTCTTCTTTAATTATCTTAAAATATTTGCATGAAGTTTTAGCTTTTTATAAAAACAGTCATTTTTAATGATCCTCGAACTAGTAACGTGTCTTAAAATGATCGATGTTTTTATTAATTGTTAAAAATAACTGTTTTTATAAAAAATTAAAACTTCATGCAAATATTTTGAGAAAATTAGAGAAGACTCCTTATATGATGTACTTCAACGCCCTTCAAGCTTTATTTGTATTTTTGTAACAGCCTGTATATGCATCTCTTTGCACCTCAAAAACTACTTACACAAATATGATCGTATCACAGTCTTTCGCAAGTAAAGCACGTGTAACTTTCTGTGAATATGTATGTTCTGTAGTAGGAGTAATTACTTTCTTTATGGTGGGTACATTGCACTTTTTGGAAGACTTCCTTTTTAGAATTCTGTACCCAGAGAGAAAAAATGGAATCCCATTGCGGTCACTCTGTCGTCTGTCTGTTGTTTTTGGGTTTGTTGAGAAGAATATGGATAAAGGAATGTCTGCGTTAAACTAACTTGCTTATTAAAAAAACATTTATTTATTCAGAATTATTTATACCAATAAAAAGTCTTCCGTACCAGACTGCATAGCAGCAAAGGAAAAACATTATGATTAAAATGTGCCCTTGCAAAAATACTAAAGCCTGCCAAAGTCACAAAGCTGACTTGCTTAATGTTGTAGACGATGTGTGACATTGTAATTGAGATTTATCTACGTCTGTCTTATACGGACCTAATGGTGTCAATTCTAGTATGATTCTGTAAACCTAAACTTAAATTTCACAACAGTGTATCCTTGTCATTCTTTCAACAGAACAGGAGATACTGATGTTAAATTTAGTTTTAAATTAAGAGATTCACGCCTTGCTATTCGAAATGATTTTCTTAAATGATAACTTATTGACTTGTTATAAAACTGTCATACTTTTAGAAGACATTTTACAATTTATACTTCTCTTAAGTGCCAATTATTCTTCTTAACAGCTTGTGACAGTGATTGCCCTATTACGAACCCGATGAAGTTTTATGAGAAATCGTCTTCTATGAATTTGTTTACCAGAAAGAAATCACAAATTTTCCTGTCAAATTATTTCTTACCCCATTTGTTCATTATACCAGTTTCCGTTACGATTGTTTTCGTTGTGAATACTTATTATTATAGCACCAGATTTGGCTTTAATTTGATTAAAGTTTTAACGTCTCAATAACATCAAAGATGACCAAAGAGATCAAAAATAAATTGTAAATATTAACACAGATCATAATATGTATAGAGCAACAAATTTTCGAAGCTGAATTTTCATGAGAATAACAAGTAAGAGTAATCTTTCACATTGAAAAGGATTTCTATCAAGGCAAAAGATACAGAAAGCTACTACAAACGCACTCCTTATTGATAACTAAAACTTTGTAAGTGTTCAAAACCAATCATCTCATGAATACAGGTTTTACCAAGCCCTCATCGAAGTAGTAGCGTCTGTGGACCATCTGTATGCATAATTCAGTGGCCATTATCATGTAAATACATCCCTTTAACAGACTTGGAAAAAGCAATCTTTTCCTTTACAAACTCAAGAGTTTATTCTGAAACACGATCGGGCCACCGATATTTCAAGCGCTAGTTTTCAAATGCTTTGGGTTTACATAAGGCGTCGGTCGGAAAGATAGCCAGGAAAGAGTAGGATGTCATGATGATAGGAAGGGGACTAATTAACCCATTTTACGCAGTTTTTTTTTATTCGTAGTAGAGTAGGAACCGAATAACTTCACGTTCCGAAACCTGTGCAAGTGGGCATAGCTTAATTCGGCTTTATGTAGTTGAAAATTGAAATCAATTTCTTCTATAAAGTATTGATCTTTGTTGTTCCTTCATAAGTAAGTATAATGTCTTTGAATATAATTCAGGCTTTATTTAAACCCGGGTAGAATTTTACATTTTTTTTTTTCAAAAAGCATTTAATAATATACATTATTAAGTTTTAAAATTTAAAAAGAAAAAAATTGCCATATTCATATACTTATATTTCTACTATCTTAAGAAATTTTTCGCCAGAAATATTCTTACTTGCCTAAAAAGGGTTTAAAAACGGTTATAACGCGGACCCTTCTGAAATGGCAGTTTGTCACTGGAAACAAATGGCTTAGCAATATTAGGCGAATGTTGTTTCGGCGTTTGCCCATGATCGCAATTTGTATTGCCGAGCGCACCATTTTGTATTTGTAATTTTTGTAAGATATACATATATTATAACGTTGAAAAACATAATAATGAAAATAGAGACGGCCAATCTATTGATGGAAATATCTAACTATTTTAAATAATAAGGTTTTGTTATCACTAAGTACCTAATGGGTTTTCAATATCGTTGACGTAGGCCTAAAAATTACTTGAATTTAAAGGGGTTCGAACATTTTTGTATTAAATTAAATAGCGATGAACGATGACAGTTGTAAAAATATTACGAGCAAAAGAAAACTGTTGGGTTTATAACTGTTCCGATAATTCCAATTTTGTAAATAAAGATAATATTCATAAATTGTATCTTGACACCATAACAGGTACAAAAGTCTTTTAAAGTAGTCTTACAAAAGTCCATAACGCATGAAATAAGGGAAAATTTTGGAACAGTAAATAATATTGTATTGTGCATCCAATATGAATAAACATATTTTGGGTTTGAGTCGGTAGTCTAAACCTTCTCATTAAATTTTCTTGAACCACTTACACTTCTCGGATCTGCTATTTGGTCGCGGTCTTAATATTTTAATCAAAGGTCGCGACCTTAGAATATTTTATGTTAGTGCTTATTTTATCCCATGGTGAATTTTGTAAGCTTTCCTACTTGCCGCTATAAACAGAGTATAATGGTCCGATTCATTATCCACAACGCTACTTCGCATTATGCTAATTGCCACACAGTTAATTGCCATTTCAATTGCAGCTTCTCGTTCGTTTTACATAACCGCATCATATAAGTATACATGAAACAAATTCGATAAAATCTTTTGAATTTTTATAAAAATACTAGCGGCTGCACGCATCAACTTAAGTTTTTTAATGTCCCTAATGAATCTAATTTTTTTCGGGATAAAAAGTTTCCTATGTCTCAATCCCGGTCATTAACTATATGCGTACCAAATTTCTTCCTTATTCGTTCACTACTTTTTGTTGATTGAGTAACAAACATACTAACTTTCACATTTACCATATTAGTAGGATAAAGGTATTATCTATACATTTATAAACAAAAATTTAACCACTTTATTTTATGGAATCCTTAGGTCTATAAATCTTCATTCTCAACTAAAATCGTCACGGATCTCTTCTAGGGCTCTTAATCTTGTCATCTGCAAATGCACTAAGCACCAGATTTGCATTTTACTGATAAGGCACTTCATCCAAACTAAAATCCATAAATATCTTCTAATAAGCATACGGAATCCGTGCCACAAAAACCTTATTGATCAGTGAACTATATTTTGCTTAAATATTATAAATTCATTTGAAGGCACTAATCGTCCCAACCACTTGACTAATTAAGTTAAAAGCGTTTCTATTTAAATCAATTCAGAATCATTGAAAAGTAGGTCGACCGTCTGGCAACCATAAGCAATTGAATAACAACCTTTTCACAATCCTATACTACTAATAGCATAATTGTGAAAGTTTGTATGTTTGTTACGCAATTACACAAAAACTACTGAACTGATTTTGATGAAAAACGGCACGCATATAGTTTATGACCTGGATTGAAACAAGGGAACCTTTTTATTCCGGAAAATGTTATGTTTCTTATTGGGATTCTAAAAAAACTAAAGTTAACGACGAACAAAGTCGCGGGCGGCCGCTAGTTATGATATAAAAACACTAGTGATACCTGCTGCTTTCACATAAATTATGCACATACATATTATGCTTAAAGTAAAATTCCACATTTACCAATTACCAAACACACAAAAGTAGATCACTGATTTTGTCCTATTGATGCATTTTAATTTTCACATTTATCTTTAACGAAAGCTTTTTTATTGACAATGTCAATATATATATCACTATAAAAGTTTTGTAGAAGTCTACTTATCCACTTTTGCGGGTCTAATTTATGAACAATCTTCTTTTTAAGTACTTCGGCGTAAATACTTGATAGCTTCGCTTGGATGCCTTCGCTTTCAATAATAATTGTTATCATAGAACAACATTGATTGAACTCGTAACGGGTTTCTCTTTGCCTTCAAATTGTGAAGCACGGTCGCCATTTTGATGACAAGAAATACACAAATGTCTTAACCTCAAAAAGGATAAGAATTAATACTTGTAGGTACTCTGCATAATTTAACTCTACTTAATGATAGCTTCATTTTATTCTATCAGTTACGTTCACTTAAAAACGAAGTTTGAAAATTGTTAAGCTAAAATGTCAGATGCAAGAATGCGATCGTCTAGTAGATTCTTAGATTTTTTTTGATGTCGAAAGTTCGAGAATTTTCTTTTAAAAAGATGTTCGAATGTTAGCAAATTGACAAGCTCAAACTAAATTGTTTCTTTTTTTTTCAGAATCCGACATGATTTGAAACACAAAGGTAAGTCGAGTAGTTTTATGAAATCAAAAGTTACTGACATGATCACAAAGATAATATTAGGTTCGCAAAATCTTGATCAGATTCGTAAAAATATTATTAGCTGACTTCGTAAGTTATAATGTGTACTTATAACTTCTACTTCGGCGTGTGTAGACGAAAGCTGCGAATGTGTTCTAAAGTTTCCTTATAAATCAATATCAGGGGACGCATGGAAATTACTCTCTTCGTCATGCATGTACCGAACAAAGAAGTTTGCGAGCTAAAACAATCCTTGTAAAATGTATTCGAGAGCGTGGAAGTTTTTCGCCGAACACACGACCGGCAAAGGGCCGTTTTTCTAGGAACCCTTCGTTTGATGAATGTACAGCTTTGACGTAGCAATATAGTGCAAAGTAGCAAAAGTGTGTTCACTGTTACTACAGCCGAAAATCTTAGCTGTATAACATGCCTTTGGCTTAGTACGAGTCTCGCTAAATACATGAGAATATCGAGATTGTAATGCACGAAAATTTATTAAATAGAAACAATTGGATAGGTAAAGCCATGTTGTTGAGAACATATTCAACAAACATGGCATAATGTGAGGTATATTGTCATTTTATAAAAAATAAGTAGGTAAATACTGTCACATGTAGTAAACGGAGTACTAAAAGGGTGAATGTCCAAAATTCTAAAGTACAAAATTGTTATGATTTTATTTATTTTTTAAGCATTTAACTGCTAGATGTTTAAATCTAAAGAAAAAAACAAAATTGTTAATGAAATCTAGGCTGTTCGAACGCTTTTGAAAGTGCAAAACCTATACAACATCAGCTCGCGAAACCATTATACTATTTAAATCTAATTTACAAAAAATATTCTACAAGGGTTGTTTTCTCATGGCAATAAAATAGACAATTCCTAGCAATTTCTGAACAGCACTTACTTGGTATCGCAAGCGTTTATGAGCTATGGAGGCCGCATACCATGAGGCGGGAACATTCTCGTATATAAAAAGTTCAAGTATATAAAAATAAAATGTGGCATAAACTTTTCCTGGAAAGAGCCGCCAAAACAGTAATACGCAAAATTTTATAGTGAAATATCACAGCTGGGTGAAAGTTTTAGCAAGAACAAGACCCGGCTCGTGTTCGTTTGTTGGATTCTAGAAGAAAAGCTTTTCTTCCTATTTTATGATGAACAAAACCTTTGTCTGCGTCTTTGTGTGAATTCTTATATAGCATTTATTGAGAACAATTTCGGTGTACATTATTTTTGTGTAACTTTACCGTTTACGCAGCGCACGCAATAGAAGCTCTCAAATGGAATATTTTTTCCCGTTTCTGCCACATTTTTCATGAGTATTCCGCTTCTGTTCATCGTATCGTTTTGTTTTATACCCTATAGCCTTCCTCGATAAATGCACTATCCAATATAAAACATAAGAATTTTACTACCACCAGGGACCAGTAGTAGTTCCTGAGATAAGCGCGTTCAACCAAACAAACTCTTTAGCTTTATAATCTTAATATAGAAAGCAATTGAGTTTTTGAAATGAAAACTTCTTTAGTGGCGTTGTACACTTTTTGTAATGGGTAAAAAATGTTAAACTCGCGTCAGGACACGTGACATGATCGAAAATTCGTTAGACAAAAACTTCTTTAGCGGCGTTGTACACTTTTTTGTAATGGGTAAAAAATGTTAAACTCGCGTCAGGACACGAGACCTGATCGAAAATTCGTAAGACAAAAACTTCTTTAGCGGCGTTGTACACTTTTTTGTAATGGGTAAAAAATGTTAAACTCGCGTCAGGACACGTAACCTGATCGAAAATTCGTAAGACGGATGGAGCGTAGACAGCCGCCGCGGTAAAGGAGAGGAAGTATCCCCCTCTCTTTCTACGGCGCGGCGAAAATGTATGCCTGTGGCTACTGTTTCGTTTAGGCGGCGCGGGGCTCTTGCGCGAATGTTAGTGTGTGTTTATGTTACAGCGTGCCAAGCGCATCCATGGATGGTGGCAGCTGATGGCTCGACCGTCTGTGTAGTGGCCACACTGCTGTGAATTCGTAAAATTCGTGTATATAAAGTGTTACTGATAATTAAAGCAATTCGTGCAAAATTATTCCCTAACCATTCCAAAATATCAAAAATGCACAACGTTATAATGTTCAAGTTTTCACTTCTGCCGGCACTCCCGGAGTGCAACCCGTCGATTTATTTTTTAGCATGATATGATGTTATAAACGTTTTTGCAACTAAGTTCGACTGAACTTTTCATAGGAACTTCTGTATTATCACTGTTTTCTGTTACAATCATATTAGGATGCCAAGGGACGATCCCTTATTATAATCAAAACACGCCAACTGTGTGCGTTTTCAAGTAATACAGAACCATTCATCCTTAATAAATAATATCCTGTAGAGCAGAGCAGAGCAGAGATAATAATTATATTTGCTCATCACGATCTCGTGACATTTCTGAATACATTTTCACCAATATCAATCCGCGTAATACCTACACGTTTTGTTGAAATCTTTTTCGCGCAAAATTTATTTTGTGCTTTCGTCTTCGAAAAATACTTGAGAAGTGTGGGCGGAAATGAGATTATCGCCAGAAGCAGCCTCAGGAACTAGAGACCAAAGGTTTTCCAGTGATAAAACTTGTATAGCATGGAGGACGGACGACGTTGAAATTCTAAAATTTGATTACTGAATTTTCGCTACTTACGCTCTGCCGAAGTGTAGTTTCAGTGTTTAGAGAGAGTATTGCGAATTATGAAGTAGGAAACAACCTACACAGGCATTTTAAGTGAGATCTTAAGCTTTAAAAAATCTAGAAGCGGTTTATGTAACGGTAGCGTTTCTGTGTATTGCGCTAAGAGATCTTTTTGTGGATTAACATGTTTCATTTTCCGGAACAAATTTCCGAATCATGATTGTTACTTATTTATGTATTTTAACAGTTAGTATACATAGCAAATTTCTTTTTAAGAAAAAAATAGAGGTAGGATATAGCGGGATTTACAGCTCGAATAAGAGCACCCGTCTAGGCAAGTAACCTCTAGAGAGTAACCCTATAGAGATCACAGCGAAAAAATACTACATTTTGATGGCGAGTGATTCGTGTGTAATATTTCAGGGCTCCCCGGGGTAGGGGATAGATTCAGGGTAGGCAATGACGCGAGTGATAATCTAAGTACAGTCACCGTCACAAAAAATCTTATTCTCGTACTCTTTTAAAACGTCATCACTTTTTCTTAAACTTCACGTTAATTACAACACAACGTAATCATAGAATATTTACTTCCATAGCGAGCACTTTTCTTAATTTTTAAGGGGCAAATGTTTGCACATTGTGAGCGTTGAGTCCGTGACAAGTCCTCGGCGGGCATTTTTTTCACGATACTGGAACTTTCGTCCGGGAGGACAAAAGTCCCTAAATAATCATAACGTCAGATCTGAATAGACTGTATAAGGAAGGAAAATATACTAGGTACTAAATATAACCGAAACTCCTGGAAAAACGCTACGTTCCATACCGGGGCCAAGTGGTCGGCTAGGCAATTTATGAGCCAGATTACGAATATTAAAAAATAATTATTGCGACCACCACAGCTTAATACTGCTGTGCCACCGGCGCGATCTTCGCTAAATAGCAGATTAGTGAGCGTTTAATTTTGCGTTGGAAACTGCGCAAGATAAACTCTTCGAAAAACAATTTCCAACGAATGAATTCTAAAGCACTTAATAAGATATTCTTGTTGCTTTCTATGTATTTATACGTAAAATGTTGTGTTTCCTTTATAAAGATAAACAGGAAAGAAAAAATTCTAATAAAGACTCAGGTTTGTGGTCTGTTACAATTACAATATATAGTTTTTATATAAAAAAATGTGTCTAAACACGAGAATTAGTTGCTATTGTCTTACTGAGAATAAACGATTCCTTAGCTGCTACATTAGATTAGACCCTTTTCAGAGCACTACATTGACGTTAAATAGAGCATTGTTAAAGTTTATTAAATCATTCCTGCAGTTGTGCAATTCCTTTGATCCACTGACATCCAAAAAGGAAACTATCAATGAGTGCTAATCTTATGAGACCTTAGTATGCGTGAGCAAAATTGAAATTGTGTGAATAAAGAATATTTTGTTAGATAAAATTTTCTTTAGATTTATTGAATGCTCTTTTGAATCGTCCAATATTTTTCATGACGTCTTTTAGCTGATGAAGAGAATGGGCGCAACAAACTCATCAGCATTTAAGTGAAGTAGCAATGGTCGGTGTGTGTTTTCTTTACGCTTTATCTTGGTAAAAATCTACCTTCAACGTGATCAAAAATATTTTTGAAGTGAAAACTTCTTTAGCGGCGTGGTACACTTTTTTTGTATGGGTAAAAAATGTTAAACTCCCGTCATTCATGACACGTGGGCTGATCGCATCACAGGCCACGTGTCCTGATCGTAAGACGACAACAATAAAATTGGAAAGGTTGTTGACTTTCAATATATTGAACGAATCATAGTAATATTTTATTTTATCGAATTATAATAATAAGTCTGTATCTAGGACGTCCAGGTGGCAGCTTTATTGCGAAGAAAATGCATTTTTTTACAATAGATGTCGCTAGGTGCCCTTAAATGAGAAATTCTGAGAGATAAACTTTTTAATGTAATAGAAATTGTCATGTTTGTGTACGATAGCGCAATAAATAAATATTTTTTTCTACCAGATACATGATATTACTTTTATACTGATTTTATAATTAAAGGAATTCGTGCAAAATTATTCCCTAACCATTCCAAAATATCAAAAATGCACAACGTTAATATTCAAGTTTTCACTTCTGCCGGCACTCCCGGAGTGCAACCCGTCGTTTTTTTGTCATACCGATACTACGGAATGTAATGTCGGCTTCGGCTTCTTAATATGTTTGCCCTTCATTTGGTAAATTGCTCTAATTGAAGTTAATTGTGAATACGGTATCCTTGTTTCATCTTGAGAGACAGAAATAATGGTAT